GCTGAGCCGACTAAGGCATAAATAATTATTTGATGAAACTGTGATTGACTTCCATTGTAAGGGATTATATTCACTTGGACGTTAGTGTCTATTTAATAGAATCTGTCCGTTTGTTTGTTTGTGATATTTGAAGCGTTAATAATGATTTAATTAGATTTTGAGGTCAATACCTTTAATATAACAATTTGATTGTTATTTTTTTTTTATACACATGTTACGAGATAGAGCATTATATTATTCTGATGAAGAATTAAAATAAAACGACCACGTGGTTGATACTGCGATTGGTTGCTGCTTCGTGTTGCGTTACGTAGCGTGGGTTCGATTTCCTCAGAGAAAACTTCTTTTTTGATATCTACAAATTATTGTTCTGCGTCTGGGTGTCATGTTTACGTAAAATGATATATTTGGAAACTCATATCATGATACAAGAGAACATCTTATCGTGGGGTCACGTTTTTTGTTATCTTTTTAATCTTCTAATTACTTCATGTCAGTATATTTCTCTTCACATTAACTTCTTTCGTAATTTACTCGTAAGTTTTGTAATTTATAAATGGTGGAAAGCGCTAGTTTAAATGGTTTACATCTCAGTCGAGGCATGTGTAGTAATTTAATTATGGGTAAGTATCTGATTGCGTGGTCCAAGTGAATTTCCTGTATTGCACGTCTTGTCAACATTCGCGAAATGTACACTTAGGAGTCTGTGTGAGTACAGGCTGTAGTAACACAGGAACTGGGAGTGTTCGAGGCATTATGAGTTGAGTAGATTAGATTCAGATTATCTTGTCATACAAGTCTCAGAATAAATTTTAATAATTTTGTAGTAAATAGGTAACATTATGGTAGGGAATGCCCATGACATTACGTGTAAGTGCATGAAACTTAATTTTTTGGATTACACTAGGATTTTCTCGTGTCATGAGTGCGTTTCTAAACATACAATTTTAAATACACATACAAACCAGATCTAAAACAAAAATCTATGGATTACACAGAAAAGATTGTCCTGTGTAGGAATCGGACCTATTACGTGTCAACGGATTAACTAGCCAATTCGCCATTAGTCTAATAATAGAAACGTAAATTAATACTTATACATAAATACAGTTTCTTTATCCAAGTAACGTTGATAATTGCCAACCATGCAGTCAAATCAAATTAATTAAACTTTGAGTGTATTCGACAGAAGCATACTCATTAGGTTACAAAACGTCCTGAATTTAGCTCAAATTTAATCTAAACGAACTTTGACATTTAGTTTACTTTCATCTGACAAACTAAATAGATTGGAGAATGGTTACATTTTACGACATTGGACGCGTAATTTTATTGAGACGTTCTTTATATTGCAACAGCAGCTATGACTTATTTTTATGACTCATATAATTGTATATTATAAAACTGTTTGTAGACTTAAACTGACTTAAATAAATCAAATGTCAGATTGTCTAATAGATTAATTTTTAAAGGATGTTGCTCAATTAACAATGAAAGTGTAACTGGAATTTAATTTGACTGCACTACTGGCGCAGTGGCTAGGGAACTGACTGCCGTACAGTTCGATTCGCTCAGAGAGCAACTCTTTGTGTGATCTACCTCTACAAATTGTTGTAATGTGATTGTAAATGCACCCGCGACACAGGAGAAAATCCTAGTGTGGGGTTAATTACCAAGGAAGTGAGAGTTTCTTGAGACATATTTGGTGCTAATATTTTGTTAACAAAATAACCTAACAAAAAAATAATTTATTTGCATTAAAAATGAGGAACTTAATAATATAACTAGAAAATAAATGAATATATAAAACAAAAATAAAATACGAGAGTGAAAAACAAACAAAAAATATTTTGTTTACAATTTGCAATATATTATTATAGTGTCGTGGTGGCCCGGAGGTTTAAGACGCCCACTTCTCATGCATGAGGGTGCGGGTTCGAAACCTACCAACGACAAGTACCAATGTGACTTTTTCCGAGTTATATGTACTTTCTAAGATTATTTAGACACCACTGACAAACGGTGAAGGAAAAACATCGTGAGGAAACCTGGACTTATCATTTCTAATTATAAGTTTGAAATCGCCAACCCGCATTGAGCAAGCGTGGTGATTAATGCTCTAACCTTCTCCGTGTGAGAAGAGGCTTTGCTCAGCAGTAGGCATTTATAGGCTGTTGATGATGAATATATTATTACAGTTACTCGTTATATTACATTTCGTAATAAGTTGCCTTTCAATTACACTACATTACAATTTTAACGCCAATTTGTAATTTATTGGTTCCACATAAGTAATGAATTAGCACATGTTATAAAAGTCTATTTCATCGTCCTGATAACATAACAGTAATAAATTATGATGTTTTTATACTTGTTACGATTCTTGATGTTTATTTTTAGAATTTGACGTGACAGGTTTATTGTTTTATTAGTTAACATAAATCAATTTTATTAGTGTTTTCACTAATCAGATCATCAGTTAGATCGTAAATTATTACTTGTTCGTACGCATATATCGCCTTAATATTTCTTTTGTCTTTTAGCACAACCTTTTTAGTTTTATATTTTTACTTTTTCTACACAGCGTACTAAACCCGATATTTATTTAAACAAAAACTACAATAAAAAATCTCATTCACAAAAACCGCACAAACAAAAAAAGTAATATACAGATACAGATGCACACAAAACATTTCTATAATTCATTTCTATGGAGTGTATTCTCACAAGTTGTAGGAAAACAATAGTTTGGGCATTAAAACAACTTTCGTTTTCACCTTGACAGAGTGGCCCACATCCAGTCACTGGCTGGTGTATGAGATCAGATCTGGTCGTGCTCCACATGTTTCTGATAGCCAGCGAGCAGTACAGTACTCACGGTGGCACAACAAGCTATATATTCCAGTATAAATTGACCGTCGGATGTGTGTAATATCGTATGAAGCGAGATCATGATATACTGGTTTTGTATGGTTTGACATGAAGTTAGTGTAGTAGATGTAATAGTAATGTCTGCAATTTACTTTCAATCTGTTTTGACTGAGGAGTGACTATGTACGGAACACGTGATGCGATGGATGGAAGTAGATTTATAGAATGATGCGATTTACTTCTAGGAAATTTTGCTTACATTTCAGTTTTGTATACTCAAACTCAAACTCAAAAGCATTTATTTCAATTAAACCTTAATTTGGTACTTTTGAAACGTCAACAAATATAAAATGAAGTCTGTCAGTCTGTACGTCAGTAAAGGTAGGTGCTCTTTCGTTTGCCAAAGGGGGGGGGGGGAGTTAGGTGCTCATTCCTAAACGTAATCATTTGTAAGAAATATATTCAATACTTTTTTTAAATTTTCTTTTATTTACCTGGTACCTAGGACCTAGTACACAATTTGTGCACCTGTATAATAGAGAACGGCGCATATTTTTACTGAATAAACAACTGGTTTCGATGTTTCATTCAAAACAAACTGATGGCTGAGCACGTTTTATCCAAGTCACAGATCAAATCAAATTAACTTAATATAATCTTATTTAGAGCATCACCGATGCGGTCGGTTGCCGCATTAGTTTATCGATAAGATCGTGAACTGCACCGAAATTCTACGAGTGAGGTACATGCCGTTTAGAAGTAAAAGAATTTATTCTTGTTGAGTTTGATGTTTATTTTTTAAATGAAAACAAACAAAGAAAAAAGTGCATGGTAGTTCATTCATGAAATTAGTTAGAAGATGTGTGAGGCATGTACAATATTTATCTTGTTATATGTTTACATTACAAACACAGATAGGTACTGCTATGTTTTCATCTTTTAAAAATAGATGTAAACCACATTGTACGAATAACTACAGTCCTTCCAAATTAAATTATGTTCCACGTTAGAATATCTTAGATACTGTAGTAGAAGTAGGAGTTTTTTTTTTTAAGGGGGGAAAATCGTCGAATGACTGCTCCCGCCTGGGTGAGGCGGAAGGGAGTGTCAGACTCTAACTGACTAAAAACCACCCCGTTCCTTCTCCTGCACGTCGAGCCGGAGCCCCGGTTACCCGTTAGGTTTTCCGCGACCCGTTAGGTTCTCCGCGACACGAGAAGTAGGAGTAGGAGAAATATCCTACTTTTGTTATTATGTATTTTTTCCTGATTTAAAAGTTATTTTAGATTCTTATCTTCTAAAACAACAATCACCTCTAGTAGGTTTAATATTACAAAACAATAAATCCCAGTTTCGCTATCAGTAGATCTGACGAAGGCTCAAGATTTATCGCAAAGTAAATCGTTTTAAAACAAAATCGCCGCGAAGAGAAAGTTGGAAAGCGGCCAAACAAACTTTGTTTGTAATTAAGCGAATAATTTTGTCATAAAAATAACTATTTAGATTTAGTTACGTGCGCTATGGAGTTATGATTTTATATTATTAGAGTTATTGTCAGTTCTGAGTTATGGTGTAACTCTGTGTCTATTGTGTGATGAAAAGATGTGGAAAGTTCGTGAGTAGACCATAAAATTGTAGATACATAAATATTTACTCATAAAATGGCAATACCAGACTTTAAGATAGAACATAAAATAAAATTTGTCTGCCGGGCAAGGGGTCTCGGGTTCGAATCCCGAGTCGGGCAAAGTATTACTGAATTTAAAAAAATAATAGCACGGTGTTTAGAATTGTACCCGGTTTATGGCAAGAGGCCCGACCCCTATTACATGGGGCTCATAAAATAAATAGTGGAAAGTGGGTATTCATTGTACAGTGGCATTTAGTGCCGTAATATGCACGTCTGCCTACCCTTCGGGAATAAAAAGCGTGATGTTATGCGTGATGCAATACAATAAAATCGTATGATAATATTCCCAATAACATGAACAAATTTTTCTCCAGTAATAAAATATAACTCTCATTTCTGCATGATCAAAAAGTCGACTGTTAAATAATATTTAAGACCACCCCATAATGGTAGTGTATATTAAATTTAGAAATAAATGAAATAATATTATGTAACTTACCCGTCGTCTGCCTCGCCAGCACGGCGACGGCCGTCACAAACAGAACAGTCTTGGTATACATGCTGGTCACCATCACACACTGCCTACCATCTTGTCACTAGTCACGCACTGATACACCCTCACTGGCTCATTGTTCACCTGCAAACAATATTATACATTGTTTATTAAGAACACTGTTGTAAACTAAAGGAAGATTTTCAAATGTTCTATGAAGCGAGTGTCGTGGACGCCGATTAATTTAACTCCAATTTACTACTTTCTTATTCGAAATTACCAAGCTATCAAATCGATGTAACTATCTTCTAATAATTGATGTACAATAAGGCGGGTAATTGATTAATCAAACAAATTGATTTTCTTTTAAATCTTTAATGATGTAATCATTCAACGAAATTTAACGACGGGTGGTGCGCGTTGATGTCTTTTGTTAAGAAAATTGTATTTTCTACAAGCCTGTGGGTTGTAACTGTTTAACAAATTCTAAATGTGTGAATGAAGGAATTAAACACTTAAAACTAACAATATATTACTTGTATACATTAATTTACCTACAATTCTGTAAATAACAAGTTTCCTTTGAAAACGCCGCAGAATACTAAATAAGAAATTACATGAGTTTCAGTCATTCTAAGATTTACAGTTAAAACTAATTTAGTATGTACTTAACCTCTAAGTTCATGGCCATTAGAATATAATATGGAGCTGAGAAAGTAAGCAGCAAAGCCTCCCGCAGGCTTACAAATGTGGCATACCGTTACCAACTGTACGTGGTGCAGCTGTAGCCATCGGGGAACCTCTCGTGGGAGATGGTATCAGGGAGGCTCTATTTATATGAAAACTAGTGCAGGTGAAATATTACAGAGATATGATTCAATCTGTTTAGCAGGCGACCGACAATAGATGTAGCCTTGGAATACAAGATACATGCAATTGCACTTATATTACATAGCTATAGTAAAATAATAATATTTCAGAAATAAAGCTGTCGTATTTGTGGACACTATAAACATGCCTGTGTACAAAATATTATTCCAAAATGATGTAACCGATATATTTGTGTGTTAATGCCCGAAGGAGGCTTTAACGGCTTGCGGCATGGAGCGCACTGCGCGTGCGTGGAACGGTACTGAGATGCGGTTTATCAAGGATTGATTAGAACATATATTCATAACATTGGTCTCTTTTCAACCAATTTATAATAATAACTAGCTTCTGCCCGCGACTTCGTACGCACAATCCCGATATTTCCAGTTCCCGTTCTTGATTTTCGGTAAAAAGTAAAAAAAAGAATTGGGTAAAAAGTATCCTATGTCCGTCTCCTGGTTCTAAGCTACCTCCCCACCAATTTTCATCCAAATCGATTAGGCCATTCTTGAGTTATAAATAGTGTAACTAACACGACTTTCTTTTATATATATAGATAAATAAGTTTCTGTATGTTACCAATTTAATATGTATCTCTGTGATCCAAATCTACTAATCAGTATTAGAAACAAATTGAATCAAAGTTTTAAATGTGGTTTCGTTGATTGAGAGCTTAATGTATTATCTTTTGATTTATTGTCCATACTTGTTTTGTTTCATACATTTTTGGTTTCAAACGTTTAATAATATAAAAGTAATTAGAGCATAATTATTACATAACCATATTTTATAGTATTATTGATACTATAAAATTATATGATCTGGTTATGTAAAGAAAATAAACACGTCCTAATAAATAAGTTCCTCTCTTGTCACTCTGTTATCTCATCTGTTAAAATTATGATAAGTGAGTAGGTCCTCCATAAGTAAACTAGCAAGTTAAAGTAACTGCACTTGAATCTGAACCGCTCACTCTAAGTTATTAATGCTATCGTGCGTAAGCTAAAACTTGATTTACTCGGTTCTGGTTACTGCTGGATTATTATGTTGTCCTAACTCTTAACATATTTTCTTCAACGAGCTAGCAGCTAGTTGACCTAAAGTTATACTTAAGTTATATCTATAGATTGCAAAATATTTTCGATTTACCACATTTACTTGTATTATCATAGAAATCAGAGATGTGCATGGTATTATTTATATACTATGTTACAGTGCATACATGCGTATATACATAGGTCTCTTTATCCGGTAGATACTTTATGATAATGTCGTGGTGGTCCGGAGGTTTAAGACGCCCGCTTCATATACATGAGGGTGCGGGTTCGAAACCTACCAACGGCAAATACCAATGTGACTTTTTCCGAGTTATATGTACTTTTTAAGATTATTTAGACACCACTGACAAACGGTGAAGGAAAACATCGTGAGGAAACCTGGGCTTATAATTTCTAATTATAAGTTTGTAATCGCCAACTCGCATTGAGCAAGCGTGGTGATTAATGCTCAAACCTTTTCTGTGTGAGAAGAGGCTTTGCTCAGCAGTGGGCATTTATAGGCTGTTGATGACTTTATGACAAAATGTGAACAGATTTAAGTCGCTTCATAATTATAATTTCTTAAACCATATAATTCATCTGCATCCCATTACATATATCAGAGCTACGGAACCACACATCAAAGTCAATGGTTCCACAAAACCTGGCCACATAATGTTAATAACAAATAGTAACCGTTGCGCAAGTCGAGCAAAGAGATATGAATAATTCACTAACGACGCTAACTGTTCACTAATAACTATGCGAAGCCTATTTATACGCAAAACTATGCAATCTATTGAAGTCTTCAGATGTAAAAATAACGACTTATATATTAAGAAATTTCTTTTTCCTTTTAACTGTTTCGTAACTATATTTTCTCTAAATGTCTGTCTGTTCGTATGTAAATTATGTATGAATTATATTAATGTCATTGATATTTATGAGCGATGCTCGACTTTTGATGTTCAGTTGAAGAAACTAAGTATGTGTTGCGTGGAGGCTTTTGTTTGATCGATGTACGAGTTCTAAAGTTGTTATACGGCAGTATTTGTCAGTGACTATTATTCAGTGCTCAAAGAGCTACCGCAAAGGTATAGTGGTGACATGTTTCTATACATTATTATTATGCAGATAAGAAAATCAAGATTGATTCAACACTTGATTTAACTTCGTTATGAAGCACACTATTTAGTACGTGTATATAGCTACCGTCTCTATAGAAATTCAAAGAAGTATGTAACACAACACACACTTTCCATGGAGTGAAAAATACAAGTACTAATAGAATTTTCTTAGTCAATAAACTCCAATAATAATGGATTATAAAATAATATTGTATCGTGGGATTTTAAGCAAAAAGTATTATAAAATATGGTGAAGGTTTTAGCTTACTTTCTTTGTCTGTTTGTATTTATTATAGCATTTAGATTGTGGCTGCACTTTCTTCAGATAGCTACCTAACTTGCTTTCCCTTACTGCAGGGTACATGTTCTCAAGTTCTTTGTGATTAACAGATAACTGAACTAGGTTTATTGTAGGTCCAGACTTAAGACTATGACTTGAAGCTGTAGAAAGGAAATCCTCGGTGATAGAAAGGAAATCGTACATTAAGTAGTTAATTAATATTTAAAGTATTGTAACCCACATCAATTTGAAGCTCGAAAGCTTGCGTCAATTGAGTACTTGTCATTTAGTATCATTTGTATCGGTATGTTGCTGAAAATTAGCATACTCATTTCGGGCATGCTTGTGAATCAACAGGCGTTCGATTTTTGAATATTTTTAGCATAATCAATAGAACGCGTTTTGGCATAATATTTTAGAGCATATGTAACAGTAAGTAAGTTGAAATTTGTAAGATATGTTTGATTTTTCTCTTATCTCTAAGGTTGTCTGGTAATTAATGTCATATGTCACTCACGATATGGTTCATATTTTTCCATTTTGTAGGTATATTTAAATGAATACATTAATAATCTGATTGACGAAATTATGAAGCTTTTAGTGTCGTACGTTATTTGATGGCAATTTTATTAAAAGTCTGAGTAAATATTTAGGTACAGTATGGTCTTTGGTATAATAAATTACCAAAGCTTTATTTTCAATTATAGCTTCCTTCTTCAAGTTAGCACCAAGACTATAGAAATTAATATCTCTTAACATTAACACTAAGATCTTTATTACAGACTTTTAAGCATTATGACCTTAAAACTGAAAGAACATTATACAACATCATTATATACTCGTTACTATGTATATATGTAGGTAATATTTATTCATTTTCAATGTATAAGTCACAGGTTCATTGACTTTTAAATCATTTGTATGTAATAATGATTTGTACGATATATAGAAAAAGTGCACTTAAATGTTTGTTCTTTTCATACCACAAATTATGTAATGTGGCACCGCATAATTACTTCCCAGTTAGTAAAAATATTACCCAGAGTGCAAATTTTTAATTCAGTAATTGAATTAATATTTTTTTGAACATTGCTATACTAGGATACTAGGATTTTCTCTTGTATCGCAGGTGCGTTCACACACATGATCACGTACATATCAAACCCAGACGCAAATATTTGCATAATTATACATATGTGTAGTTAGTTAATTAATTAGAAAAACTAATAGAAAATCCATAAAACAAATACAGTAAAGCCTACATCGAAGCTTTCCCGCATGATCGACGCATGCGTCATTTCTCTCTACGTATAAAATTAAAACTTTAACTTTTATTACTATAATTATGTACATGTATCGTTAACTCTAATGTATCAAGATAATAAGGAGGTAAATTACATACGCGTTGCTATTTATTTTCTCCTAGAAACCGACAAACTGTCAACGTTCATAACTTAATTTACCGTTGTTGAAGTTCTATATAGGAACTTTTATGTTATGAAAATCTTGATTACCTTTACTTTTTTTTTTATACAATTATTTACTTTTCGGGAGATTTAATTTCTTGACACAGCATACATACAAATCCGGGAGGTTGTAAAGTCGATATGTTTTCAAAAATGTTCGATACTATTCTAATTGTGCTAAAATTGATTTAATAATATTGTTACTACCTACTGTCTCTTACTCATCAAAGATAATCCCTAAGTTATTACCTTGAAATAGAATATCTACAAGTTTCTGCTTGTAGATATTTATCAGCGAT